CCCAGGGACCAGGAGGAGTTAAGTGGCAGGGAAATTAGCCATGCATTCTGCCACCTGCTGTCCCCATGGCTTCCCAGTGTGAGGAGCAGGAAGGTGCTTGGCTGTACTGCTCAGCCCTGGGAGCCAAGAAGACTGAACAGCCAATGCTTGCTCCCCATCCGCTCCTCAGAACAAGGTCCCCAGTAGGGAACAGACTGGGACTTGGTCTCGCTGCTCCAGTTCCTCTGGGAACAGAAGGATGGAAGCAGCCACATGCTATTCCCAGACAGGGATAACCCTGGTCTGAGGAAGGTGCAAGGAACGGGGGAAACAGAGGTAGTTGCAAGCTGAACACCTGCATTGCTCCCTCTCCTACAAACATTTCTAGCAGTGAAAAAATTTACACCACTAGAAATGAATGCCAATTCATGGCCCAGGTATAAATTTTACCATTTACTTAAAAAACCTCACTTTTTTTTTTTAAATCTTTTCTGAAACCAAAGGTTTACATTCTATTCTGCCATTTACATGCAGAAGTGTGAGTAATTTTTGCAAACATTTTCCCTAATTCTGGATAAAAGTTGCATAGGGTTTGCTTTCCAATGAACTGATGTACTCTTCTGACATATAAAAAAAAAAAATCACTATACTTTAATCATCAGGCATGTTTCTAAACGCTCCAGTCCACAGGTAATTTTTCAGACCTTCATATCTGTAACTGAGCCTATGCAGCATAGTATCAACACATGTTTAATAACCTAATTCGAGTACTTTTGACACACAAATCAGACACATATAATGCCACCTGTGAAACATGTAAACACATTCAACACATGTTACCATAAGTGAAACTGCATACAAAATTCTTGATTTTTATTTCTTCCTTCTAATTACAAAATGAAGACTGTTTTTATAAAACAGCAAAGCTACCTGTGGACTGACAAGTCTGACTTTCAAAAGCCGAGTTTGGCATAGACGCTACTGTGTTACCATGGAAACTTACATTTGTGGAGTTTGATTTAATAAGAGCCATTATCTTTAGAAAACACCGTTTTCTGAGACTTCCTAGCTGGAACAAGGAAAAAAAACCCTAAAATGGCTGGTGTGTCTGCTTTTGAAGCACTTAATAAATTAATAGTCCTCCAATATTCTATTTACCCAATAAAACTATGCCATAACAGGATTTCTAAAGTAGTACACAGTCATAGGGTATATTCATCTTTATTACAATGAGGTTTTTTGGTAATTTTCCTAGCTCTGCCACTGACTTGGGACCCTGGCCTCAGTATATCACTCTACTCCTTTTTTGCCTTTTATGTATATATTTGCATACACCTACCTTGCTCAAAATATTCATTTAATTCTACTAGACTCTACATGTACTCAGGGATGGATCCATGGGCTGTGCAGTGGTGCAATCACACCTATTCCCATTGATTCTGGTCCACCCAAAATTGAAAATGAACTGCCCAACAGTGGCAGCAGCACTTCTCTTCAGGCAGCAATGAGGGAGTCACTTGAATTCATGGCTCATTATAATCTACTTGATTCTTTCTAAAATCTTTATTCCACAGGTGTTAATAACCCTTTCTCCCTTTTTAATAGTCTTGATGGCACTAATTAAGATATTCTTTCTTCTGCAATTCTGCTGTCTGTCAGATGCTCTTCTTAAGGTAGCTCCTATTTCAGAGCCTTACAGTTATTTTTAACTTCAGCTAAAAACTAACTTAGGTGTGGAAATAACGTTCAGTGAAGCACTGGATGCACAATTAAAATACTCAAGAAGGCTAGATTTTGTTTGATGAATCTGAAAGAGATGTATATTTAATTCTAATGACAACAAGACTAAAGAAACAACATTTATTAATTTTTTTGCCTAGTTTGCTGTGTTTTTATATGTAACATAGAAAATTCATGTGCATTCCAATATTTTTTTTAATTTGTCTGGAACCAAATATTGTCCTAATAACTGCTTTCCAAAAAAAAGGCAGAGTTCATGATCTGCAAGATTCACATTCTAAAAATAGTACAGCATTTTATTAGTAAAACTATTTGAAATCACTGAGCAAAAGGTGTTAAATAAGTGCAAAATACAACTTTTGGTATGGAATTTCACTCTACATATGCATTGTACTTCTTAGTACCATGGAATCCTCACTGAGGAAATACAGAAATAACAGGTTTCATCAAATCAATCCTAAAACTTCGCGTCACCCAAAGAGTGAGTTTTGTCCAAAAAACAATTTTCTATAAATACTTAAAAACATAGACCACCTTCTCAGCAACACCCTCCTAGTCACCATGGTTGTTACCAGCCTATATACTCACATCCCATATCAGGGTGGCATTCAAGCCTGCCTTACATATCTACAAGAGCAAGATTACAACTCAGAGTACAGACCCAAAGATATTACTGACCTTATACACTTCATCCTCACACAACTTCACTTTCAATAACCAACACTTCCTCCAGACCATGGGCACATCTATGGGCACCAAAATGGCTCCACAGTATGCCAACCTTTTCATGAGCCACCTGGAAGATAAATTCCTCAAGGACTGTACTATCAAATCCTTGCTATACTTAAGAGCTATCAATGACATCTTCATCATTTGGATTTAAAACTTGCAATCTCTGATTGAATTTCTGATGGAAATCAACAAGCACCATCCCTCCTATCTCTGGAATACTCCAACACCAACATTTCCTTTTTAGACATGATGGTAACTATCCAGAATGGTAAAATACAGACCACCGTATACAAGAAACCCACAGACCAAAATCCATATCTACACAGAACCAGCAAATCACCCTAAACACATCAAGAAAGCTGCAATATACAAACAACCCCTCCAATACTACCAAATTTGTACTGAGAACACCCGTGATTGTCACTTCACAAACCTCAAAAGGGCCGTCACTCAACAAGGACACTCCTCCAGAGAGAGAGAGAGAGAGAGAGAGAGAGAGAATCATATTTTTGAAAGACCCACCCAGATATCACAAGAAGAACTGCTATGGTACAGAAGAAAAAACTCAATAAATCACACACCGCTGGTTGTGACATATCATCCCTCCCTGGAACCTATATATAAAATACTCAAACACTTGCAAATATGCTAGAAGGAGACCCAATTCTTAAAGGTATCTTCCCAGAACCACCTATCCTAACCTTTAAACAACCACTGAACCGTGTCAATTTCATCACCAAAAGCAAATTTCTTACAGCTCAAAACACAGCGAATGGATCCAGACCATGCCAAGAACAAGAAATATAAAACACATCACCACCACCCCCACAATTATTACAACAGAACCATTAGCATTCCTGTATCTTATAGCTGCACCTAGAGAAATGTACTATATCTTATCCAATGCACCATATGCCCTGATGGAAAGTATGTAGGAGAGACCAAACAACAACTGCGTACCAGAATGAATGCACACTTCTCACAAGAAAACAACTCTCTCTCCAATTCATCAATCGGAATTTACAAAACTCCTTTCACAAACGAGCCTATGAACTTCACTTCATCTATCTACTGGATGCAAAAAATCATGAAGTAAATATAGACACTGGATTTATGACACCTTCCTAACATCTGACTCCCCAGATAAATCCTCCACTTTTTACCAGCTATATTCATTCCCTTTCCTCCTCTCCCATCTCTCATCCTTTCACTACACCTACATTCATTCCCCTTCCCACCTGCACCTCCTCACCTGTCTCTCACCTATTGACCAACCCAATTTACATTTTAACTGACTAGCTTTATTGCAGATGTACTGGCCTCTGACTGCTTTACTACTCCATCCAGGAAGAGTACAGACCATCTGCAGATGCTCCCTCTGCCTGATGAAGGATAATCATACCTGAAAGCTTGCAAAAAATAATTTTTCCAACTATTTGAGTTGGTCTAATAAAAGGTATCAGATTTACCTAAAGAACTTTGTCTGCCTATTCCTTAGACCAACACAGCTACAACTGACACCCCTGAAGTCCCCAAATAGAAATCTAGCCACTTTCTCTGAAAAGCTGAGCTACCCCCATTAACTCTTAAACCTAATTTGGACCATTTAAATGCTAATCTTGTCAACCCATTGTGTGCACTTTTAGCAGAATTACTCCCATGCTAGAAGACTATAGCAAGACTAAAACCACCTGTTTCCATTCATTTACATAGACATTCACTCCAAAGCATGCACCCACATGTAAATGCTAACTAAAACTCTTTACACACTTTCCAAAACTAATTAACCCACTTTTTAATTGCCAGTTTCTTACAACAGTTCATTTCAAAGTCCTTAGGTCTATCTAAATTTGTTTAATTCTGCCACTTTTCCTTGGCAACTTCACATTGGCTATTTTGGTCAATTATCTTAGTCTCTCTTGTGGATACAATCGGTCTTTGATCACTGTCTAGATTGCTTTAATCTACATTTAATTCACTTCTGCTACTTAGGCTTGTATGGCCTTGGACAAGTGATTTTACATGACTTTCATCATCTGCCATGAAACAAGCTGATGTACAACCTTCCTATACTGCTACAGTTTGTTTTCTGAGCATGTGGCTTTCCCTGGTTTCTGAAATGCATACTACTTACTCAACAGGTACAGTCAACTCACATAAGATGAAGACCTGAACTATAAGTATTGGGTAGAAGGGTCAAAAAGAAAAAGAACAGAAATGTTTACTACTGTATATTTGAAAAGTTTTTATTCACCTCATGATGTCATTACCGAGTAAACAAAAAAATACCTGCTTGTCTAGAAACGATTACAGCTATTACAACCATTACAAATACTATGTTGTGTTCCCAGTAATTCTGAAACAGCAGTAAACTGCTAACATTACAAGGAGATATGACAACACAAATTAGTTAAACTAATACATAAAGATGTTTTGGCACAAGACTCCATGTAAGATTAAATTAAATATATACATAACCAAACCACACACACAAAATTTAGTTTAATTCAAAACACAAAGGGAAAAAAAAGTGGGAGTTTCGAGGACCAATTAATTACAAAAAAAAAAAATTAAAAAAAAAACCAAACTACATTACAAACTCCATAATGTAAGGTGGAATATTACAAACTAGGTAAAGTAATAGCCTAAACTTACATGCTATAAAAAGTTACCTGGTAGAAATTTTCCAGCTATTTACTCTGCCAATACATTACAGAACAATTTGCCTCCTATTTTACTTATTCTATTGCTTCTTGGTTAAATGCTTTCCAATTATTTACAGCTCTCTATGGACTCTTCCCAATAGAATCTAACGGATTTTCTGGGCCCCTATACTTTATTATGTGGCCTTCATTCTCAAAGAATTACTCCTTTACACAGTCCTCCAGATTGACTGGTATCTTACAAATGTCTAAAATTCTTGGCATGACTTCATTTCAACTACAACTCCTTAAAAATAGGTCCATAAACTAGCATCACAACTTAGGGGTGTTGCAAACTCTTTAAAATGCATTTCACACTTTCTATTATTTGCTGTTACAGTATGCTGTTTTTCAAGAGACTGCATTTCAGTGGTGGGTGATCTAAACCCAGTAGATCTACTGTTTAATTCTCTTCTTATTTATACCAGTTTAAGTCAGGAGTAGTTATTAAATCAATGGAGTTACACTGGTATAAAAAACAAATGACAATAAGATCCTAATTAAGTCTAGAGTATGTAAAGTACCCTGGGAAAGAAGTGTACATGGATGTAGATCATATTTTAATTTAGCTCCAAGTAACTTGCACATAAAAAACATATGCAAAATACTTCTATACAAAATATTTTTATTATCAGTACATTTGCTACTAGAAATGAAGGCCAATTTCTGCACCAAGTCAACTCCTTCAGGTCACTAACTATTATCATGCTTTTTGAAGAAAAATCATTCCATCTTGATGTGCATTTCAAGTTCCTGCTATATAAAAGAGCTTCTTTATATTTTCAGAAAAAAAAATATATAAAGAAAACTGCATGATTTAAATATATTTATTCTACAACTCATGGCAACTCTTGATATTATTTTCTTTAAAACAGTTTACAGCTCATGGCATGATGGAACATTTTTAAAGGAAATAGAGTCTGTCTGTTGCCAGCATCTTCCGATATTCCAATCTTCCAGATGTTTTCTGGAAGGAAATTTTAGCATCTTCAGCAAGCTCTACAAGAGAAAAAAGATACAATATTATTTTTTTTTAATGTTTTTACCTTCTAAGCCCCCAATCCTAGTATCTAATTGTCATTTGGATTTTATTTGTGATCAACACCCTGCCTCATATACATAGCCATGCAGCACTTTTACAATACAATTGTGCACAATCCTTACACCAAGTGAAAATAAATACAAGTCAAGGAACGGCAATCTTACCTGCCTAGGTTTACAGTTTTTCAGGCCAAGAAGATCATTAGTCTTTTTATTTGTCTTACTCTTCTCTTATAGCAATATAATTTCTAGCAGAAGATATAGTATCTGCCAGAGAAACAGATGGGGAAAATCTTAAATTGATCTTTGGTTTACTTCCTTTCCCAGACTCTTTAAAATAAAGCACTGATGAATGCAGAGAAACTGAAAGTAATGAAATTCAAATTGAGAGAGAAAAATGAAAATAAAAATAAAAAAATCCAGTGTTATAGACCATGCACAACTTACTAGTGTGTGATGACAAATACACACCTGTTTCAAATCTAACTAAAAATATTCATTCACTATAACAAATTTACCACCACAGGGCTTGTAGTGACTTCTGTATCCGCAGTCACGACCAGTACCTTGTGCTCACTGAGAGAAGTGGGTCTCTGCTTATACTCCTCTTCTGATCTTCTCCTACATCCCCGTGTTCTCTCTTATCTGTAGCCGACATATAAATATGGAGTGACTCCACATACAAGAATAAATAACCAGAAGTGGTGTGGACTGTCAATGATTTCCAACAGCTCTACACAAGTAAAGATGGTCAGCTCACTGGGAATTTTTTTTTTATGAGAAAGTTGGGCTGAATCAAATCAAAGTGTCTATAATGAGTCAATTCTTATCATCACATGTGCTAACAAACCTGGTCTCCAAGAGCTGAATTCAGAAAACATTAGGTGCTTACACTCCACACAGAGTGAGTGAAGACAGAGTTAGGCATCTAAGAAATGGATTCACAAGAACCATTACCCTGAGTTAGAAGTTACCTAGAACTAGCCAACTGGAAAATGCTGAAAATAAGAGTGTATCTTAAGCTTTTTCTGAGGCTTAGAGGCCTTATTAAGGACTGCAAATAGTGATTTTCCTGTGCTTGGGATCAACAACATGGTATCTTCTCCTGAACATGGGAGTCTATCCCTTTTAAAACAAAAAACCTGAATACGATCTTCTTTTAAAAAGATTGGGGGCGGGGAAGAGAAGGTGGTTAATCTGGTTGCATTATACAGTCACCGTATCAAATGTATAACTAGTCCCAAACTTTGAAGCAAAAGGGTGATTATCTGGAAGCAGGCATAGGTTTGATTTGGTTTTTTTCCTGATAATAGTATGAAGTGGGACTGGCAATCATATTCATAATTGATGAGTGTACTGGGGCAAGTCACTTCCCTTTTCTTGGGTTCAGTCTCTCTCATTTTTGCATAATGACAATGATGCGTATTCATCTACACAAAACAGGTGAAAGCAATGGATTAATGAACACGAAGTTTTTAAAATGTTAACAAAAGTGCTTCTATACATAAACTTTCCAAATTGTACTGGCAAACAGGTAAGTGTGCCTAAGTAAACAGTACTGAGTGCAAATATTGGATCGGCACATATAAATGAAGGCTCAACAATGCTCGTTGTGACTTAAAATCTGGATCCCAAATACATGTTTTGGTGTCTAGAGTTTCCATTTGGGTAGAACTAACCCATTGGTTCTCCAATCTTCTTTCAACAGCATTCAGGACTAAGCCCCAAAAGATATGATTCTATATGGCTCCAAATACCTTTTTGTTCAATGAGCAAGGAGAAATAGCAATTGGTTGCAAGTTCGTGGCAGAATCCAAAAGAACAAAATCTTTCAGTTCCCAGGCCCATATACTAGAAATGTCATCTAAAGACTAAACAAGTCACATAGATGCTCCGTCATCTTAAATTTTGCAGATCTTTGCTGACAACATCAAATTGATGCTCAGAATAAAACTTAGAAGAGTTTTCCTTTCATAAAAAAAAAAAAAAAAAAAAAAAAGATCCTGCTGCATTTTTAATGCAAGTAACTCCTAATGTAAAACATTCTGAGCTGGGCTCAAATTACAAATGAATGTATTTTAGCTTATGCTAAAAACCCTTTTAACCCCATCACAGCCACTGCCAATTTGGCAGGAAATTTTGGCTGAGCAGGGGAGTTTTCAGGGACAGAGTGAGTGTTACTGAAAAGCAGACTCTGTCCCTTCTTTACAAAACCTCATTTGGCCATGACTCTGGAAAATATATTTTCTTCCTTCTGTATTCTCAAAACAAGGTATATGTCTTATTTGGAGGAAATGTGGTAGTTATGATTTCAGGGGGGAAGGAGGGAGGAAGGAAAGATTGTGGTCATGTAATTAAAGATTACCTCACACTTCATTTTCACCGCAATTTGATAACCTTCCTTCTAGCATACACTAAATGTTTTGAGTACTTGATTTTCCAATAATGTTCTTTTAAAATAATTTTTCACTGTTTTTCACCAATACACTTTTAACAAAATGTTTGTGAGTAAACTACTTTAAAAGTTGAATACAAGTGATCAAGTATAAAGGAGCAAGAGGTGGAAGACTTTTAGCAGAAAATAGGCTAGGTCTCATCTCTCAGTATTGTTTATACAAAAAGAAAGGAAAACTCATTACAAAGCTCACCAGACTTTCTTAAATACTCTTATATGCATCAGTGCACAAATCCTTCATCATCTTTGCCAAACTTTATTTCATACGTACGTCTTTTAGCACCCTGTATACACTAGGCATTTGGACAGTGACTTTTTACCTGTCAAGTTACCAGGTCAGTTAATAGTTTCACATGCCACTGTGCTGTCAATGGTAAATATGTTAAACTTTTATGACTGGATGTCACAGTAGAGTTCCTCAATTAGGTAGAGTTCCTCAGCTTAAAATATTGCTCTTTTAGATATACAAAGAAATGAAATGTTTCTCTGAGCACCTGTCTAAAATATCTTAGGGAAGAACTCTTGACCAAATTACAACTCTATTTTTTTTATACTGCAGTATATACAGTATTCACGGCATCTAAAGGAACAAGTAAGTTAGAAAAACTATCACTGAAAATAGTTTACAGTTCCACAAGGAATGCCACATATACCGCATGTTAAGTAAAATGTTACATATGGTACATGAGTTATGGTATATATTTTTTTAAAACATTAGTTGCGTGTGAAATGGTAGTTACCATCGGCTACCAAGTCTCTTCTGAGACACTGTACTCTTAGCATTCAATACAAAAGAAAATTCACTCTCCAATCAATTATTCAAAGGGAAAAATAGCTCAAATGTTTAAAATCAGATCTAGCACAGAAACAATATCTTGTTGAATCTTTATTTCACTTTTTGCTATCTATGCCGATGTTGTTCTTTTGTTAAAAATACACCTGAGCCTTTTATAATCTTTCAGTTATAGATGTAGGCATTTTCATTAAAAAAAATTATTGAATATCTGCCATTCACAGTTTGTTACATTTTTTAATATATTGGAAGCTCCTGAATTGCAGTTCTACAGAATAACTGTATTGGTTTAAAAAAAAAAAAAATCAATGTATTCATTCTAATAATATCTCAAAAGATGCACAGAGTATTAGATCAGCACATTTAAGTTTACTCATGTTTCCTTTTAATTGATCTATACACAGAAGGAAAAGCGGGGAAATAAACCAATCTTTAGACAATGCACTTGGAAAGCAGCACAAACAACTTTTTATTTCATACAAGATCAAAAGCTAAAAAATATCTCCAATTCTTATCAGGACATAAGGATCCAACATGAAAATAACTAGACATTTGTGCCTATTCTCAGTATGTTAAATGAGCAATGAGAACAAAAATCTACAACCAGCACAAGCATTAGCTGTAATGACCACGTTTTCTCATGCATTTCAGAATGACATTTCAGAAAATTCAATCAAGGTTCTGATTTTCTGAATGAAATCTATTAAATAAACCAGAAACATCATGGAGTACATGAAAAAGAAATCAGTCTTCTACATCAGGATACATTTATCAGAACATTAACCAACACTTGTACAGTAACTAATCTGTTACGATTTAAGGTAGTAATGAAAATACTTCTGATTTTTAACCTCAAGGCCGTCAAAAAAGGAAAATAAAATCTATTACATTAAAACTGTCACTGGAGAATTCTCTGAGGTCCACAATAGAATTTCTGGAGCCTACTAGCACATCTGAGAAGAGCTGGTCTCCATCTTTTTCATGACAGTTTTCAAAGAATCTCTGGTTTCCTCCCAGCATAAAAAGGGAACAATTTGTGAAAATCTCAAAAACCAGTTCCTAACAATCTCAAGCCATAACTCAAGGTGAAGCCATGAACAAGTTACTTAGGCTCCCACATTAAATAAAGACTGAGCAAGTTATCCTACAACCCCATTTTATAATTTATTTGTGTGTGTTTAGTTATATCACTCTATACAGGGACTGATATAACACACACAAACATACACTCCAAGGATTCTGTCCGTGCTGTGAAAAAGAAGGATGAGGAGGAATCCTACAAATTAATCCTCTCCTTAGCCCAGGTTCTCACCCCAACCAAATCAGAAAAACATTAGGTATAGGAGACTTTCCATGAAATCTTTGGGGGGGGGGGGGGGGGG